TCTATGAGAATTGGATTGTTTCTAGAGCCAGCCCCCCCAGTGGCTAGTCAATGATTTGCAATTTCTAATACTTCCGCATTGGCTTTACAATTTAGAGTTGGAGGATGCTGCTTGGTCTTTTATCATTATAAAAGCATTTATTTAAACTTATTTACAGTTTTTAATTAGCAACCATGAGCAAAAGAAACATGTTATGGAAGCATTTACTTATGAAATGAATGAATAAACATTTAGATGGCTCATGATTATCCGTCACTACACTGTTATTTATTATTTTTTGTAGAATCTACAGTTGTTCGCAGTTCACAAGTAACTTAGTGTAAATGAGTTACAAAAAATATACTGTATTTACATTTACAGCACAATGTATCTTGCTAAATATGTATTTACAGTACTGTGTTAATGTACCTAATAAATTTTCACAATGCAACTTTAAAATACAGTAACATGCAGTATTGCATAAATATCCAACAGTTAAATGCTGTTCATATTGAAGTTACAATACAGCAAATTACTCCCAAATCATTCAAATTCCAGCCCAAGAACTCCAAGTAAACAAACTTGTCTATCTAACTTTTGCTCCAAGCCACACACCCAGAAACCAAGAACAACTTAAAACCCAACCCGAGGCTCTTGGTTTCCATCCCGCTTTTCAAACAAGTGCTTTGTGTGTGAGTTTACAGTGCAGCGTCTGTATGTGTGAGTCTACAGTGCAGTGTCGTCCTTCGTCACACCGCTGTCAGTCGGCGAGTGCGATCGATAACCAGAGCGTCTCTCAGCAAGTGAATGCACCCCGGGGAGCTCTCCATCCTCACTCCCCCTTTCCTGGGCCAAAAAAGCAAATGGATGATTTGATGGTATCCTCCATAAGCTGCTAGCAAGAGGTAATGACAGAAGCATTGGCACCTGCGGCTGACCTGCAAAGCAGCGTCCCGGTGGGGCTCCATCATTAGCGCCTGCTCACCCGAGGACCTGCCCGAGCGCCAAAGCACCACGCCACGGGTCTGCCAGTTTATATAATTACTAAGAGATGAGAGGGAGAATGGACAGATGCTGAGCCAGAGCGACTGATGGAGAGAAAATAGCAGAAAATAGCAGACACACGGTGGCAATGAAAGCAGGGTGAGGTGGAGGATAAATGGATGATGACAAAACTCAGACGCAGTCCATTTAATGTCTGATGCTTTGCTGGAGAGTCAAACTAAAGGCCAGGCGAGACTTTACTGACAATATTTACTAGTTGGGAATGTTCCTTGACAACTATAAAACTGGGATTTTTGAAATCTACTCTACATCTACTCTGCTCTGACTGGTCAGAAAGCTCTAATTTGTTCTGATTGACTCAACTCATATATGATTGGTCAGATGACAGAATAGATATCTATATTAGATGTTGCCTAAACTATTGTTGTCTATTGGTAGGAAGGCGTCAATAGAGCTGCCGTTTTAGTTCAGGGTAGCGCTCCTTTAAAATGTGGGACAAAGGTACTGCTATCAGGCACCCTTATTAATTACTTCAAAAACTAGTCAGTAATGCACTTAGCCAACAATACAGGTTTCTGTCATCAGTGTTCTATTGTTATTATTCGATGACATTTTTGCTGGTTTTCTTCAACAAAACTAGCATAAGCCTAGAATTCTTTGCAAGTTGGTGCTACTTTGCCTTATGGTCAAGGCAGTAAGTGACTGCATTATCATTAATAACGTTACTTGTTGAGCACAACAGTTCATAACATACAAACATAAGATCTGGGGCCTGTTTCAGAAAGGAGGTTAAATGAAAACTCAGAGTGTTTTAATCCTGAAATGAGAGAAACTCTAGGTTTTCCGTTTCAAAACGGCAGGTTTGTCAAACTTGAGAAAGCAGGGTAAGTCAAGCCTGTTTCTGAAAGACAGGTAATTTTAACTCAGATCAGTCTGTACTGAATGGTCAGCCACATACAGCACACCATAAACTAAGAATCCATTATCTTCAAGTTCACAGAAAATAGACAGCTTTCTCAGCCAAGACCACAGATGCCTTTACTCAAGTCAACAGGTGCACACATCATCATTTGAATTAACACAAGCTCTCTTCACTATGATAGTGGCATGAATCAGGAAGAAAAATATGGTCTGGATGGAGCACCTGAAAGCAAGAACATAATCCAGTTGACACCCAGCTCATGTGAGTCCAGTCTGGGGTCTGAACTGGGTCAAGGCCAGCCTCTGCATCTGGTTCTTATCATCCCGAACCTGACCCAACAAGACAGCAGGAACAAAGCAAGCAGAAAAGCAGCCTGTGCCCACTGAGTGGCTCCTACCTGCCATCAATCAAACCTCTGCCAGCATGCCACACAAACATAATGGACAGCAAGAGCAGAGGACGCTTAACGAAACACAGAAAGACAGACAAAGATTTTTTGTTTTTTTGGACGCTGAAACATTAGAAACAACTCTGATAATAAACAAATAATAAATAAAATGTTTAACTAACAACTAATTAACTTATAAAAGGACAGATGTATGGATAAATAGAACGTTAGAATGGGGGGAAAATGACAAGATCTGACCAGTTTATAGATACATTTTTTATAAGAAAAGTTTAGGCTGTAAAATGACATTTTGGTAATTAATAAATGAATAAGCTATTGAATGAATGAATAGCTTAATAATACATGCATACATATCAATATGTAGCATTCAGGATTTATTTTCATTTAATTATTTCAAACACTAAAAATAACTGCCAGTTATTGTACAGTATGCACAGTTGAATATACAAAAAGATTTCTACGTACTTTTCACCTCATAGAAGTCCCATTCAGCCTGGAAATGCAAACTTGAGCAACAAGTTTTGCATGTCGCTGCACTCGAAAGTTTAAGCTTAGGGAACTCTGCCCTGCGAAATTGCATCACGTGATTGTAAGCGACTAATAGAAGATCAAAACCTGACCTCTCTGTACAAAATTAACTATAAGGCAATTGCTCATGTTTTCAAAATCGAATCATATTGTTTTATCCTGCCCCTTTTCACAGCATTATATGACAGAATTTTGAAAGCACAGCCTTTAGTGTCACTGCGGCTTCAGGCAGAATTTTATTTTTTTATTTTTTGTAACGCCTCTTAAATATTAATAAAAGAGATAACAACAAAGATACTTCTAGCCAAAACTTATTAATTTGAGTGTTTTTAAAAGTAAACATTTAAAGGGTGGTCCACAGTGTATTTTTAAGGCATGGTTGTATTGCATAAGATGCAATGCAATGTGTGCTAATGGTTCTCTTGTAGGAAAAATAAATGAATAAATAAATAAATCACACAATTGTTTTATATATTTTCTTTTGACTATATTCAACTACTCAGCTAACATGAAAATGACTGTCATATTTCCTAGTTCCTCTGAAAGGCCCGCCCTTCAGAAGTTCCTATTGGTCCGCAGTCCAGTCAGAGCAGCTGTTAGCAGCATTAGCTGCCTGAATCAGACAGAAATGAAGAGCACACAGCTCACACCTGCTCTCTAAAATAAAATCTGATAAGTGTCTTTCACATATTTTCGAAATAAGCATGTGTAAGTAATATGAAATGTTCACATATCTTTAGATATCGTTATTTCCTGAAGTTCTCCTTTGTCAAATGCTTTATATTTATTATAATTATATGGAACATATTTAAAATTAAAGTGAAAAATACAATTTTTGCATTAAGAAGGAAATAAAAAAATAAGGTTTTTGAAATGATCCAATGATCATAGAAGAAACACTTCTGGTTCCCCACAAAACCTTTTAGTGAACAGTTAGGGTGCTTTCACACCTACACTTTTGTTTCGGAACCAGTCTCGTTTGCCCAGTTAGCGCGGTTCGTTTGGCATATGTGAAACCACCAATCGCACTCGGATCCGCACCAAATCAATTGCTCTGAGATCGCTTAAATGAGGTGGTCTCAGCTCAATTAAAACGAACTCTGGAGCGGATCGATTGCAGTGAGAAATCGATACGATCCTGCGCGGTTATATCACAGTGTTTTATGGATATGCAACAGGCATACGGCTATATGAAGAGAGAATTAGGAGTAGGGCGGGAAGTTTTGCAAGTCTCGGATGCCCACAAACGAGTGATCTCCCGGTAATTTCGCGTCTCCCTCTTGGTCCTCAAATAGGCTACGTCGTGCATCCTTCTCACCCCTCCCCACCGCATCTCTCCTCACTCTTCAGACACGTCACGCGCACCTTGTCAAACACCACCCAACCACCACCTCTCCTGAGAGCTGAGCGGGACTCTGCAAAATAAACCCTGACACTCTGACCAATGTGAGGAGCGTTTACTCACACGTGACTTGTTTTAGCTCTTTTGGTCTGATTAGACCATTGCAGTGTGAAAGAAAACCGCTCCAAGAGCAAAGAGCAACAATGTAACATTTGTAATCTCTTTTTGGGAACAACTGAATCGATTCACAAGTGTGAAAGCAATCTTAGATGCATGTATGTGTTGTTGTTGTTGATGTTGTTAGTAGAACTAAAAAAAACCTTCTATGAAAGTTATAGCTATTACACAAACACACAAAGAACCTATATTTGTTCACTGTGCATTTGATGGAAAAATTCTTAAACTTTGAATAGCATGCATGAATTATTTGTTCAATATATTGTGAATGTGCATTAAAATAAATAAAAATCCATTCAGCTTGTTGACTTTAATTGAATCTACAATCTGTTAGTAGAGTAAAGAGTCAATCTGTTCCCACAGGACTGCGCTTCAATTTATTTAAAATTAAAGCTCAGCGTCATAAACCTCATGGGTGTGAATCTCCAAATTGGAACAGCTTTATTAAAAACATATGCCGTCAAAGAGCATCAAGCGGCTTGAAAGTCACAGCTGTTCCTGTATCTTTAACATTGATACGCCATCCATAAAACGGGTTGAATATTAAAGCCATCCTGACAGCACATAAAGCCTTCATAATACCTCAGTGCCTCATTCAGGCTAATGAAGTAAACAAACCAGTTAATGCGTCTGCTCACCTTCAGCTTGGAGTTATGAGTGACGGCAGGTGTCTTGTCCTCTTTCGGAGGAATGTGAAGCTCCCATTTCCCAAACTCCTTTTTAGCGTAGGGATGGGAAAACTTATCCCAGCCATCTATTAAAAGAAACAGACATAAATACATACAGTCAGAAAACTTTCCATGTTCAATATCCACCTTTTTCCTGCATCTCATGATGATTTGCCTGAATGAGTAACTCCCAGTAACCCTGCAACTAACACAAATCTATGGCTGTGTCCAAAATTGCACACGTCCATTCTATATAGCATGTTAAAAACAGTATGCAACAGCGTCAATTGTGTAGTAGTAAGTGCGTTGACACATGGTACTCTGGTGTTCATAGCCACCTGAGTTTGATTCCTGCCTGTAATTTCCTGTCTATACTCTACTGTCCAACCAATTAAAGGTGATCTACTACTTCCAGCAGGATTCTAAAGTGCGCATACGATGGACACTATGCTATCTTATGATGCAATGTGAGATAATTTATGAATGAGAGTGAGGCGATGCAACTGATGTGGCTAGGTCACGTGATAATGACTAATGGCAGATGTAGAATGTCCGAGTTCTATTCATATACTCACATTCACAGTATATATAACCTCTAATGTACATACAACTTCTAATGGTCATCTGGTAAATTCAAATGTAGTACAAACTCTAGTAGGCAATCTTAGATGCAGCTTTTATCTATTATTGTGTGTTCACACCGCTGCTAATGACAGCTTCAAAGTAACCTTAAGCCATTCATTATCAATTAGAGTCAACGCCAAGAAGCAGTACGGCATGTTTTCAGTGGCATGAGCATCGAGAAGAGTTGAAATCAAGTAAAGTCCATTGTAATGAGCTATGACACGGTTAAGCGGCACCCAATCCGAAAGTAGAAGTCCATCACTTGAGAGAATTCCATAGACCACAATCCTGTGAACTTTGATTCTGACCACAGTTGTTCCCAAACAATTAATCATAGCGGTAGCTGGATTTCCAACTATTAATTATTGCTTTATTTTGCTTACAAGAAGACAAATACATAAAAAGTTCCCTGCAAGTTACTAATGTGAGAAAAAAAAGTGGGAATCGCATGCTAACTATAACGACTAGGGATGTAACAATATTGTAAATACCGTCATACCGCAATAGTAATTTTTTTCAATATTACCGTAGGCGCAAGACTCAATAAAGCTATATTTCTAAGAAAAGTTTGCTTAGGCGAATGAAGCGAACGGGAGGTAACGGGAACTACAATTCCCATCAGCCTAGGCTGGCCATCATCCTTTGCGGTCTGTTGTCACTACAGATCCAGTAATGCGGAAATGGAGTGTGCTGCTAGTAGTGGGAAAGAAAAAGAGCTGGAAATGCTCAAACCTAAAGCAGGTTTAATATCGGATGTGTGGAAGCATTTCGGTTTCTTTCTAAAAAGACACGAAAAATAAGAAAAGGTAAAAGACAAAGAAAAAAACAGTATGCAGGCACTGCAAGACTGTGGTGAAATAAGTCGGGGAATACGACTAAAAAAACGTTCATGGGGACTGCAGAACACAGCACACTTGTTAGATTGATGCAGACATTGACTTGTACCGCAAAGAGACCTCTATCTCACTCATGGCTTGTCCTCTCAAGTGGTGGAAAGACAATGCACAATGTTACCCACTGCTGTCAATCTTGGCTAAATCATATCTCTCTATCCCAGAAACCTCAATCCCAAATGAGAGGGTTTTTTTCTGCTGCAGGGGACATGCCCAGAGATCCCAGCTTTTACCAGATTATAGTTATATGATAATTTTCTTTGAAAAACCCATCTCTATCTAAGTGAGTGAGTGATTAAATGTTGAATGTGATGAGTTTTCAACAATACTAAATTGAAACTTTATTTTTTTTATGTGGTTTAATAGTTTTTTGTTATTAAAATTAAAAAATTGAAGTTCCTGTTTCGAAACTTACAGATAGATGGCTAATTTGTATGCCATTGATATGTTCAGTGCTAAGGTAAATAAACACTTTTGCCACTTTTTTCGAGTCTTTTCATTAGTTTTGTTTTTCCAGGAAATTATTCAATAAATACCGTACGGTGCTATTCATACCGAGGTATTATCGTACCGTGAAATTTTGATACCGTTACATCCCTAATAACGACAATACAAAAACAGTATTGCTTCTTCAAAAAATTTGTCTTTATGCAAGAATGTAAGTGATTTGCTGATACGTTGCAACGGGCCCTTTAAATAAAAGATCAGTGTAATGAATTTTGATGCTCTCGTTGGCAGTCAGAAGCTTTGACTCTCTTGCCAGCAGCATAGTAAAAGCACATTAGGGGCTGATCACACCAGATGCACTTTTACGTTCAAAAAGCACAACACTTATTTGTTAACAAGAAAAAAAAAAAGCGTGGCGCACTTTTTATGTCACTAGGCAACACCTGAATCAGCTGCTTATTGTGTGCGAGTGTTGCTAGTCTCTCAGCGACCACTAGTCTCTCCTCAGTCTCTGTAGTGGTCTTAATACAAAAACTCAACAGAAGCCCCACCTCTGCTTTTGTTTGATTGGAGAATGAAAAAGACGCAACAGTTGTAAAACGCTTTTTCTGTTTATAGTTTACTTTTCCAACTGCTAACCCGCAGCGCACAACAACAAAAACTAGAGGTGCAGCAGACAGTTAAAACACGAGGAGTGCAGGGTGCATAAGCACAACACAAAACGCTCACAAGCATTAGAAAATCATTCAAAACATGCGCATCACATCGCAATAAGCGTGTTTAAATGTGATCAGCACCTTAGTTTAGTCACAGTAGTCATTCTGACTGTTCTTATAAAGACAGCCCAAACTCACTAGGAAACGTAAATATTTTTTACGTTTACGAAAAATGGCTAAATAGTACAAATTTGACAATTTTATTCATACATACAAACGTATAATTTTTAAATGGAAGTGTGTTCACAAACCTCACCCCTAACCCTACCCCTCATTGGAAAAATTGAAGTAAATTGACTTAAGATATATGAATAAAGCCATTCAATTTATGATCAAAATTAAATTTTGTACCAAATAAATTTTTTTTTTTTTTTTTTTTTTACATTGGAAGCTTCTATTTTAAATTTAGCACTGAATGTCTGTCTTCACATTGTATAAACCCATTACACTAAAAATACAATATCTTTTTAATATAGCCTATCTTTGTAATATAGTCTATAATTGTGTAGAAGTTACTAAAAGGTCACTTTGTCCAGCATACAGCAAAGTTTTCACCGCAGTGAAAATGTGGTTTTTGAAAGTTCAAAAATATGTCTGAAGTAAATTCCCCCTCGGCTGCGTCAGATAAACAGCACAATGACAGACATGACGGAAGCAGATCTCATGTAATGTTTGTGAGAAATTCTACATTAAGAAATTTCCCAATGATTATTTGATGTATTTGTTGTGAAGTTAATTCAATGCTTCACACACAATGTCGTTACAAAGTTCACGTGCGCACGCACACACACACACACACACACACACACACACACACACACACACACACACACACACACACACACACACACACACACACACACACACACACACACACACACACACACACACACACACACACACACACACACACACACACACACACACACACACACACACACACACACACACACAGTGCGAGTGCTAAACTTTTGTTTGGCAAATGTGACAGGATACACATGAATACCTACTTCTAGATGGATATTTGTTATGTTAATGTACAAAATAAACCTGATTTAACATTCACAAAATGGGATTGAAGCATTTTCTTTTATAAATTGTACTGACATGCAGATGTGGTGATAAAGACAATACAATTGCTGTAATTCATTACAAACGTGCACAGTTTTAAAAATTTTTTTAATCTTGTAAAACTCATTCTTAAGGTGCAGATGATCACAGAAAGCTGACATTTTTTAATCCCAGTTGCTTTTTGCCCGACCTGTCTTGTTGATATGATTAAACGCGTTACTATGGAAACATGTTAATATGCTACTGTCAATCAATTTGGTGGGCGGGGAAACCACACTCCTATGTCAAGTTGTTGTGGGCCTCAAATTGGGAGGAATTTGTATCCTATTTTAACACCAGGAATTTTTACATTTTTTTAAAAGAGTGTTTTTGCGTTTCATAAATGTGCACAGTATATACAAACAAAAAAATAACATAATAATGTTTACAATTTAAAAAAATAGCAGCTGCTGGAGTTTTACCTTTCAAAATATGGTAGGAATGTAAAATACATTTCTGTAAAGAAACGCATTTGGTTTATTTAGTCATACAGTGTTTTGACGTACTAACATCTTCACAGTCTAGCTTTGTTGCTCAAACATAACTAAAATAATGTTCATTAATAAGTAATAATTAGGTTCCAGAATTTTCTTACAGTTTAAATCACAGACATTTTATATGGTTTATATTTATTAATTGCTAGTGATTTACAGTTCTGTGCAAAAGTCTTAGAGCACAATATAATTTGTTGATTAAGCCAAGGCATAATGATCACATATAACTTTCTCACTGTCTTTAGCTGAACGGAAATCCTTTATGGAGACAGAGAGAAACAAAATGATGAAGTTGTTAAAACACTGCCAGTCATGAACTGACCTCCACCTGAATATCAGAGAGGCTTCGGATTACTTGGACAGAAAAGATAAAGGAGCCTAAATCTAAAAAAGAATTCTGTGAAGAGCTGAAAGAAGCCTGGTTTACTTCAGATCAGTCAAGAGTTCAAGAGTGTGTTTAGTGCCAAGAGCTCACACACTAAATCCTAACTTTGGCCAAGAAAATATATTTTGTTCTTTTCTTTGAGTATACTGTAAATATTGCCTATAATTGCAGATTTCCATTTTAATTAAGATACTAAATGAAACATGATATGGAAGGTCATTAAAACTTTGGTAAAACACCAGAGATATGACTTTCAGAGTACTATGACTTTTTCATAGTACTAAACACTCACTGGCAACTTTATTAAGTACACTTGTTCAACTGCTGGTTAACGCAAATTTCGAATCACATAGCAGCAACTAGGCATGGTCAGGGCAGCCTGCTGTAGTTGAAATAGAGCATCAGAATGGAAAAAAG